GTTCGAACTCACCAGCTGCTCCTCAGAAACCCTATACAGGATTGCTATGGGTCAGAACTGACTCCACGGCACTTAACACATAACACACATATTGCCTTCTATAGTGCCCTGGTGTGGTGCTGTAGGATAAGTGCTGGACCACAAGGTCAGTTTGAACCATAAGGTCGACAGTTCAAACCCACCATCTGCTCATCAGAAACCCTATGCAGGGTCGCTGTGAGTCGGAACCCACTCCACAGCACTTAACAACAACAATATTACCTAAAATTTTATTTCCATGTGTAGGAGTTTTGTAATACGTGGATCTTGCTGTTACTACTAAAAATGGACAGATAAATGTACCAGACTGTCAAGTTGGTCTTACTTTTGGTAACATTTTTTTTTTTTTTTAGCTCTGTTCTCAGATTTATTTATATTCACATTAAAATAGTTACCAAATATATGCCACCCTATTTATCTCTGAATCGGAAACTGTTTTATAAAAAACTAATGAAAGCAGAAACTTGCTTAATTTTCATACAGGACACTGTCTGTGACAGTCTACCTGTTTTAGGTACAAAGAGAATGATCTCTTAACCTTGAATCAAATAGGGAATAGAGAGATAGACTTTGGATTTGGGATAGTATTATTAAATGTTATTTTTCTTAGGAAAAAGCCAAGGAATATTAGAGGAAATTCTTTAGAAAAAAATTGTACTAATTCCCAGTATGCATCAGATTCAAATATCTGTTTAGTATGTTTGGTGTGGCCTTGGGGTTAATGTGCTGGACTTCAAGGTCGGTTTGAACCACAAGGCCGCCAGCTCAAGTTCACCAGCCACTCCTCAGAAACCCTATACTATGAGTCAGAAACAACTCAATGGCACTTAACAATAACAACAACAGCAACATGTGTAAAAATGTAGAGCGTTTTCTCTGTTAAATCTTTGCAACAAAATATATCTAAAAATTCCTCAGAGAGGGAAAGAGTAGGAATATATAAAATGTGTTGCTTCAGAAATCATGGAGTGAGTTAAGAATTTCAACATACCTAGTAAGGAGCTCTGGTAGCGTAGTGGTTACGAATCGGGCTGCGAGCCGCAAGGTCAGCAGTTCGAAACTACCAGCTGTTCCGCGGGAGAAAGATGAGACGTTCTGCTCCCGTAAAGATTTCCAGCCTCAGAAACCCTGTACAGGGTCGCTATGAGTCGGAACCGACTCCACGGCACATAACAACAACAACAACAAGCAAGACTTGAGTAACAATATCTGACACTTAACAAGACAGAATTAGGTCCCAGGGGAAGAATATGGGAGACTGCTGTAGCAAATCAAGGCTGACTGCTCACATGAATGTCTAACAGCCAAAGTCTCTGCCGTTGAGTTGATTCTTACTCATGGTGACCCTGTTGGACAGCATAGAACTGCTCCATAAAGTTGCTGACACCAGACCTTTCATGGGGTCAAGCAGCCTCGTTTTTCTGCCAAGGAGTGACTTGTGTGTTTGAACCATTGATCTTTCGGTTAGCAACCCAATACCTAACCCACTGTACCAATAGGGTTCCTTTCCTTAGTCTATGGCTTGCGTTAACCAAAAACAACACAAACCCATTGACACCAAATCAATTGTGACTCATAGCATCCTTGTAAGATAGAGTATGGAGGCCTGGTGTGGCGATGTGGACTAATGTGCCAGACTGCAAAACTGTTTGAACTGCAAGGTTGGTGGTTCAAGCTCACCAGCTGCTCCTTGGAAACCCTATACAGGGTCACTATGGGTCGGAACCGACTCGACAGCGCTTCACAACAACAAGATAGAGTATAATTGCCACATGGAGTTTCCAAAGTTGTAATATTTACCGAAGTTGACTGCCACATCTTTCTCTCACAAAGTAGCTGGTGGGTTGAAACAGGTGTTTTGGCTAACAGTCAAGCACATAACCACTCTTGGTTGTAATAGTTGACTGATAGAGGACACATAGGACCAGCCACTGTCTCCAAGGTTTAGCATTCACGAGTCCGCATTGACTTAACTGACACTTTGCAAGTATTTCCTGTCCTATGTGATTTTTCACAGGACTATTAACTGAGACTGACTATTAAAAGGAGCTCTGGTAGCATAATGGTTACGATTGGGCTGCTAACCTCAGGGTCAGCAGTTCGAAACTACCAGCTGTTCCGTGGGAGAAAAATGAGGCTTTCTGCTCCCGTAAAGATTTACCGCCTTGGAAACCCTGTACAGGGTCGCTGTGAGTTGGAAGTGACTCCATGGCACATAATAACATTAACTGAGAGATTGATCAAAAAAAAGGCCTGGTGATCTGATCCAAGCCAAGGTCCCCGTGAGTTGGAACTGACTCAGCGGTAACAGGTGTGGCGTTTTGGTTTGACTGGATGTTTTGCTTGAGTAGTAGCCGTAGAGTAAACCTGTGATATTTATGAATTTAACAGTCATGGTCCAAACTATTTCCAAGGTGCTCCAAGGATCCATAATCAAGAGCTCTTTATAATGTATGTAAGGCACAGATTTGAATCTAGAGCTACCATGCTGCCATTTGAGCGTAAATCAAGTTAATAAGTAAACCAGCCTAACCTGGTGCCCAGCAACCACATGAACACAGTTTTATTGGCTTCGTCTCAAAATTGCCACCATCCCTTAGACAGTAGCTACTGGTGAACACTGTGTTAGTGATGATTTCATGTGTATTTGCCCGCATGAAATATCAGTGATCCAATATGTTCCCGAATTCTGGTGTTTGCCTTTGATGCAGCTCTTCTCAGAATAACTTTATTTAAAAAGGGCAAATATGGCATGTCCCAGAACTTTTAAAAATAGCATTTAGGTAGCAGTTTTTTTAAAAAAGCAAAGCTTTAAAGTGGTTTTCCCATCACTGATATTTATTTTGTGGTGTTTTTTTTCCCTTGGTTTTGTAGCAAAAGGGGACTTTCTTTAGATTTTTCACACTTAATTGATTGTGTGTGGTAGAGTTGAAACTATATGAATTCCTCTCTGAATAAAGGGATAACTGGTTCCAAAACATTTGGTAAGGATAAAAATGTATGAAATTAACCATTAATTTCTATTGTACTTAATGTAAAAACCCAGTGTTGCTATTAATGCAAAATTAACTCACCAACCAGGGTGATACTGTTAAAAACAGACATATTGGAAATAGCCTGAAATGCTATAGAGCTGATAAATGTAATAAAGTTCCCATGTTGTTGTTATTGTTAAGTGCCGTCGAGTCAGTTCTGATCCCTAGCGACCCTGTATAGGGTTTCGGAGGAGCAGCTGGTGAGCTTGAACCACCAACCTTGCAGTTCATACGGCTTTGCAGTCTGGCACATTAACCCACAGCGCCACACCAGGACTCCTGAGTTACCTCAAAATCAGTGGCAGCCATAACTGTGTTCTATGATGCAGTGAGTTTTAAAACATCACTACAGAACTGAAAGCACATTGCAACAACACGACAGGAGAACTTGACTTCAATTGTTGTCTGACTGACTTCAGAAAAACTTGCCGAGCAAAGTAAACCCATGGTATATATGGTTCCTAGAAGAGGAAACTTAAAGAAAGCACTGCAGGAAGAACCGTCTCCCTCTCTTAGTAGTTGGGGAATCCTGCATGTTCTCTATGACACTACATTCAGAGAACTCAGCCTTCTTGGACCTCACCTTTATAGCCTCCAATTCAGAATTGGGAAGGATTGAATCTCAAATGGTTCTAGTACCTATAATAGAGTCATTGGGAATTTTGTTATATTTATCAATGTAATCTTCATACTTGAGCCTTTGTTGTTTTTTGCTGTGGAGTCAGTTTCAGTTCCCGGTGCCCCCCTGTATGTGCAGAGGAGATAGAACTGCTCCACCAGGTTTCCAACACTGTGACCTTCAGGAAGCAGATCATTGGGCCTCTTTTCCAGGGGCGCCATTGGGTGGGTTCAAACCACCAACATTTTGGCTAGTATTTGAGTACTTTAGCATTGGCATTACCCAAGACTCCCTATCTGAGTCACAGAATTCTTGAATGTCAACTCAGTTCTGACTCATAGCGACCTTGTATAGAGGTTCTGAGGAGTGGCTGGTGAGTTTGAACTGCCTCACATTGCAGTTCAAACCGAGCCTGCAGTCAAATGCTTATCCTACAGCATCATACTAATAAATGAAAGAGGTCAGTAAAGAAAAATCACCATCTATTTTCTAGGAGTGCACTGGCTCCATACAATAAGCAATGGACTGTCAACCGCAAGCTCCAAGGTTCAAGCCCACCAGCCCCTCTACAAGAGAAAGATGAGGCTTTCTGTTCCTGCAAAGATTTGAAGTTTAGGAAACCCTTTATAGGGTTTGGGACCAACTTGACAGCACTTAATAACAACAATATAATTGCTTATAACAATATTATAAACATTAAAGCTCCCAAGTTACATCCCTTAGTCAGATGTCTTGTTCATTATAAATTATACTTTATTTGAAACCTTGAAATACTAGTTAACAATATCTGGCTCTGTGGACAAGGAACCCTAATAACTAACACTGTAGTATTAGCACAGGACTGCTAACTGTAAGAATGACAGTTCAAAGCCACCAACTGTCCTGTGGGAGAAAGAAGAGGCTTTCTGCTCCCATAAAGATTTACAGCCTCAGAAACCCTGTACTGGGTTGCCATGATTTGGAATATACTTACTAGTAGTGAGTTTTTGTTTTTTTGGCTGTATTGTTGTTGTTGTTAGGTGCTGTTGAGTTGATTTCAACTCACAGCGACCTTGTATATAGTTTCCAAGAAGCAACTGGTAGTTTTGAACTACTGACCCTGAGGTTTGGAATCCAGTGCTTATGCTGGAGTGCAACACCAGAAATCTGACTGTATAGACTCTTTGGCTGTATATAAACTCTCCAATGCTTAATTTATTTAGAATGTTTCAAATTTATGATATCTACTAAACTATTAACAGTTTTGAGAAAATGAGAAAGTTAAGTAGTTAATCATTGACATATCTGTTTATTTGTATTTGTTTTAGTTTATGATTGAAATAAAGAATTCTGCTCTATCTTGCATACCAGCGGATTGGGTTAAGGTTGGAAGGTAGGTTTAAAATATTTTTTCTTTTTATTAACATAAATTATAATGACATCTCTATACCTGTATACTACTAGACTGATAATAGCTACATTCTTGAAGTTAAAAGCAATTTATTCTTCCATTTTGACTTTTCTATGAAATTCTTAGCCAAAGAGATTTATGTAATTGTTCTAAAACATTTTTAAAAAAGTATCTTATTTTCATATATTTATTTTATTGTTTCACAATTAGTGTTATATGCTTGCAGCTCATTGTATACTGTAAGCACTTAAAAAACACACAAAAAAACAGCTGAGGAACTTTCAGTTATGTGTTTGGTTGCTTGAACTTCTTGATGAATGCTGTGCCTGACATTTCTTTTAAGAAGCTGAAATTTCATTTTCTACCTCACTGAGCTCTGGATTTCTCTATTCTTAATGCTTTACATGGCACATAGTTATAATAGTTTCTTACATTTTCTTTTCTGTAAGTTATCTCATGAATTGGTGAAGCTAAATTAATCAAACCCAAATTAGAGAACCACATCGAGACTTTGCCTTTTCTCCTTGGTTGGACGTGAATTCCCAAGAGGGGTGTGCGAGACATACACACGTCTATGTGTTGTGCTCCTTGTGGAATATTAATGACTACTGTTAATCTTAAGTTTTCTTGAGGTGAAAATATTAGCATTTGTCTAAGTTAGACAGGGGTAGTAGCTGATGATGGTGTTAAGGGACTTTATGTTAAGGATGAAGAAAAATCTTCACATGATGTATGAATGATTAATAAGTGTATGACTTTAATGTAAAAAGGGAACTATTTATTATGCATTACCACTAGTAAGGAGTCCTGATAGGGTGCTGTAGGATAAGCACTGGACCGCAAATTTGGTTTGAACTGCAGGGTGAGCAGTTCAAATCCACCAGGCACTCCTTGGAAACCCTATTCGGGGTCACTGTGAATCTAAACCGACTCAATGGCACTAAACAGCAGCAGCAACCATTAGTAAAAGATGCTGGAGACATAAACATGGATTTACTCAGCTCTAAGGAGCCCTGGTAACATTGTGGGTCACATTTTGATCTGCTAGTTTGCAAGGTCAGCAGTTCGAATTTAACTTCCTGGAAGAAAGATAAGGCTTTCTGCTGCCCTAAAGATTTACAGCCTCACAGAGTCGCTGTGAGTCAAGACTGATGCAAGGGTACACCACCAGCACCATGGAACCCTGGTGATTCAATGGATTAAGTGTTGGGCCACTATGCAAGATTGGTGGTTCAGATCCACCAGCCGTTCAGCGATATAAAAGATGATGCTTTTTGCACTCATAGAGATTGCAGCCTCAGAAACCCTAGACAGGGTCAATCTCTGTGAGCTACAATCTGCTTGAAGGCAGTGGATTTGCTTTTTGGGTCTCATATCATCCTTTTCCTTTTTGTGCTTCAGAGGTATAGGTAGTTTAGATTTGATTTTAAGAGATACTGTTTTCTCTATGCATAATTTTTTTTTTTTTTTTTTAACTGTGTCCTATACTATAGTTAAGAGTCCTGGTGTGGTGCTGTAGGATAGCTCTTTGACTGCCAACCACATGGTTGATGGTTCAAACCCACTAGCCGCTCCTCAGAAACTCTTTATAGTGTCGCTATGAGTCAGAACCGACTCAGCAACACCTAAGAACAGGAACAATAATAACCACAACAACATACTACAGCTGATGAATGGAAATATGCTTTATAAAGAAAAATTACTAAAAATCATTTTAGTCAATCTATAACAATAACTGAAATGTCTCACTAAATGAATTTTGCCTGAAGAGAAAACCATGATAAATATGTTTGTGTCCAACTCTAGATGACGTAATTTAAAAGCAGCAAGCAAGACATTAATTAGTGCTAGCATCTCTTTAGCATTCAGTAATGGAAATTGAATGAACAGACGAGTTGATTTGGAGAAGGTTCCTTACAATTTTTTATCTGTTGCATCAGGGTCTTGACAAGCTTGTATTAAATACTTAATCAATTAAATGTTGAATGTGAAAGACCCTCTCCAGTGATTTATTCATAGTCCGGTGACTTGACGTATTGAAGGTAATTGTGACAATATATTGCAAGAACGGATGAGGGCACACTCTGTCACCACCTTGCTTATCACTCAGCAGTGACTATTTCTTCTTTAAGACATCATCATGATAATGATAACAACAACTATACCAACCACTTCCACCATCACAAAGGAACTCCTAACAGGTGCTTTGCTAAGTACTTGCTAAGTACTGATTGCCTTAATTCTTTCAGTACCTATGTTGTAGTGACTCTTCTGATCCCATTCTACAGATGAAGAAAGCAATGTTTGGAGAACATCAATTATTTGTCCCGACCATATAAATAGTAATAGAGCAGAATGAGAGCCTTGGTTCCGATTTACTGGCTGGAGAGCTATACCTTTTCCACTTTGCTCTTTGGCTTCTTGATGAAAAAGACAGGAGAGACTATAGCATGCCCAGAAGAGGGGCAGATGGCACTCTTCCTCCCCAGGACCACTGTGAAGTTACAGTTAGATTATGAGGAACTTCTCCTCCTTGTTTGCTTCCTGAGTTAATACATTGCCCTTCATTGTAATGCTTTATACCTTTCTTGTTCTAATTGAAATACTTCAGTCATTGAGAAAATACAAAATAGAGAATAGTAGGAAGTTCAGAAATTCACCAGAATGTCTGCCTTGTAGCTTTGTCTGACTGTATTTTGCTATGTTTGTTCTGATCTTTTAAAGCATTTTCATTTAGTATCGTCTAAAGAAAAAAAAGCTTCCTGCTTATGAAATAAAAATTCTAAACTCTGACTTTGCCTTATGGCTATTATTTGAAATGCATTTAGAAAGCTTCCTGAACAAAGTCATATGAACTCCAAGTACTTTGGAAGCAATAGAATTCAGGATTATTGTTTAAAATACTCTCTGTTTACAGATATTTACTTTCAAGGTTCATCAGAGAATAATAAATAACTACTTTAATTTTCTGAAGTGATGACATTACTGATGATTTCTTAATAACCTTGACATCCTTTTTCTGTTTTCCTCTCTCTTCTAGCACAAAAGCCGTGAGCCGTTTTCACTCACCTTTTATTGTAGACAATTACCGACATCTGAATCAGCTCCGGGAGCAGCTAATCCTTGACTGCAATGCTGGATGGCTAGACTTTCTAGAGTAAGTTTACAGTGAAGACTATAATATGAATGCTTTGCTATGAGAAATAGATCAGAAAATCTTTATATCAAAAAAGTAGAGATTATTGCTTACAACTGCCATAAAATAGTTGAATCCATGTGCTTTCTGATCTTATTATTATTATTACCATTTACAAATGATCATCCAAGGAAACATAAGCTCACTTTAGCCTAAGATGAGAAACCAAGTATGCTGTGTTGTTATTGTCCTAACATTTTGGTGCAAAGAATGTCAGCTCTTATCTTTTTTACACAAAGGTTTACCATTTCTTTGAGAGTAAGGGTTAGTTGTTTCAGGTTTTTAAAATCATCTTCATTTAAAATTTTTAAAATGATTATTTATTTATTTCCTTGTATATTCTTTCCCTAAATTTTAATTTAGAAAACGTTTAAATCTATGGGAAAGTTGAAATGAACACCCATACACTCTTCACTTAGATATATTGTGTATTGGCATTTGCCACATATCTTTGATCTCCTTTCTATACTTTTGTTTTCCTGAACCATTTGAAAGTAAGTAGACATCATAACACTTCACCCCTAAGTACTGAACTATACATCTTCTAAAAATAAGGACATTCTGCTGTTTAATCTTGATATTATCATACCTAAGACAGATTACTATTAACATAAGAATATATTTGAATCCACAGATACCTCCTGTCCTCAGTTTTTGAGTCAAAGATCTATTGAGTTTCATGAATAGTATTTGGTTATTAGGTTTCCTTAGTCAACTTGAATGTAGAATAGTCTCCCCACAGTTTTTGTTTTTTATAAAATGAGACTATTTTTTTTTTTTTTAATTTAAAGTTTTTATTGTGGATTGA